ATATAACTTTGTAACGGTACGAGATAGAGCAAAACTGTAAATACAGAAATTGTTCAGTTTTTTATGATCTATTGCGCTACCGAAAGAAAAATTTCCTATGATGCGTCATTTATGAACAAAATGATGTGAGTAATGCAAAGTTTTATAAAAAACAGAATTTTCGAGTTCGGAATCTTCCCTTGTTAGTCATACTTGATTCTTGCTAAAATGATAATAATTATAAAATCATTAAATTGTTTTTCAAGCAGCAATAATTTTATATTTGGTTATCATGTAAAAAATCTGGAAGTCCAACGTTTGTCCACTTATTGAAATCTAACAGTAAAGGAGAAACATGATGGAAACCTTAAAAAGTGAGCACAGACTGAACTGTTTCTCCTGTCACTGCTAAATTTTCTCATTCTACACTTTGCAAATAAACCACGGTATTAGTTTTTATATCAGCATTTCACTTAGGCAGACATAATCGTTTCATTCTATTTCTTTTATTATTAGGAAAGCACTATTTGTGTCGAATGTATGAATAATATTTACAATTGTGTTTTGCTCCTTCACCTTAGAACTACTGATGATGAACGCATATTTGTGCCGATGATTCTGAAAGTGGTCTAAGTTAATTAAATATTCGGTAAAAATGTTTTCATATTATTGTAACGTAAATCGATGTAACACCGTATAAGTTATACATTCAATTTTTTTAGATCTTTGACTTACAATTAGGCCACTTTCATAATGACCGGCACATTTATTCCTGTCGGACCGATAAACATAATAATATTTTGAAAACATTCTAATTTCTGAATCGTGTGTGTACAAATAAATTTATTCATGTTTATGCTACAATCAAAATTTGGGAGCCAGTCCTTCTGACTGCTTTGGTGGTTCTAGCGTTAAATAAAATATTTGTAGCCAGAGATGGTATTATTATAAATATACATGACCAAATATTTACTGTGGATTCGAAACTGAGTGTTTATTACAACATTCAGATATCAAGTACATAAGGCCACCGGAAAATTCAAGAAGTATCCAAAAATCGATTAACCGAAACATTAGATTACCTGTACATACAGACTCTGACTCATTGGTTGACACCACGCGCGGAAAAACTGAACAATATCCGCTCCGATAATTACATTTATTAAGATTCAATCGCAATGACCATTCATCTGACCTCCACTTATTTTCAACGTCGAGCAATGTTTTCATTTCAATTTACTCCGCGACACCGATAAACGTTGTTACTATCTTCAAATCGTATCTGTAGCACTGGCTGATCACCTCGCCGTACCAATAAGAGCAATGGGGCAACTGGAAGCGGCCGCGCTCACGGATGATTGCGATTTATTAATGAATCCGCGGGTCGGCCAGTCAGGCATGAATTCGAGAGGCTGGGACGCGGATCGTAACGCGGGAGTCATAACATTACTCGTCGTTTGCTAAGCAAGCACCGTTCCCCCCTCGCGAGTGAACGCCATGTTCCGCGCGTCGTGGCATCTGAATGTTGCGATTCATTTCGCGCGCGATTTTAATTGACGCCGTTGAATTACACCGCATTTGCATGCCAGACACGACGTGGTTCGTTCCGCGTGACGATCGCGGTGCTTTATTTCTGCGATTCGCGTGCCCCTCGGGATGCACGCATGTACAGATGTGTCGTGGGGGACGTGGCATAGCTAGTGATGGGTGATCAAACCGTTCAAACATGGTTGGAATCCCGACGAGTTGTTCCGTCAGTCCAAACACTTTTCAAACATTGCACACGCTCAGAGAACCTGAGCGCTTTAAAACCGCCACGACCAAACTCTGTTTGGACCGTTCGAAATTCTTGCAATCGAAAAGGTCCAAACATGTTTGGACTTATTTGTTCACAGACCCACCACTATGCACGGCCGACGCGGAACGTAACGCCCAGAATTATTATATCGCGCAATCCGAGTGAAGCAGGCCATACACGGTGAGGTTTACCTCGAGGCCTGGCCTCATGAGGTCGTCTCATGTTAGGGGAGCTAGGTCATCATAAGTGAAAAGGCTGAGAAAGAGATCAGTCACAGAGGGTGAGGCGTGCGAAGTGTGATGAGAGCGAGCGACAGCAAAATGTATAATATGTATCTAGTATTAGTATTAGTACATTGCGGTTGAAGTGATGTCGTGTCGGCTGATTTCGTCCAATTTTTCAAAAATTTGACATTAACCGTTTGAGTCCCAGGGGATATTGAAAAAACACTGTCGAAGAATCCCGGACAGCGCAACCGCGCTTCTCTAAATGAGTACGAGAAGACCCAAGCGGCGCGATAGCGCTTCTTTTATTTTATGTCGATAAATTGTTTGTTCATAACACAAAAATATTTTTAATTTGTAATTCCTTATTTTATGAAATACATCTGTATTATTACATATGCGTACTGTAAATTTATAAATATTTCAAGTTTTGTTCGATAAAAATTATTGAGAAGATAACAATGAAATACAAAATGTTTTATTGTGTAATGTATTATTGCACTATTATTATGGTATTGTACCTATTGTAAAATGTATGAATTACATTAAAAGAAGGAGCTGTGTGATTTACTTGCGTCAGTAAATCTGAGCGCGCGACTTTGACAGTCGATGACGCGTCGTCAGTTGTCCACAATGCTCGAAATGTGCTGGGTTTTCTCGACATAAAATCTGGACAGCGCGATCGCGCTACTTGGGACTCAAACGGTTAAATAGGAAGCTTTGACATGGTTCATTTTTTCGGGATTATCAACAAATGCTGTAAATTTTTTAAAAATCGGTGACTGACCGCAATTCCCCGTGCCTTTTGATGTAGAATGGCTCGCTAGCTCACGCCATTTTTCCCACGAAGCCTTAAGATTTACGAAAGGAAACGTAACACATGATTTGTACTAATATTTGTCTAACTCACTTCACATCCTTGTTTTTTTTATTTCCTGTCACCTCGTGTCTATAACACTGTAATTGTCCACGTATTTTTCTACATAACCTTAATATTGTTCTTCTTCTTTTGTATTTGCTTAAAAAACATTTTTATCACATTTTAACCGGAGCGATATTAAACAATCATTTTTTTGACGTTTGTCTACTGGCAGCCGCATTGCGGGACGTCTCAATCACTTACAAAACGGCGTTACTTCGAAGGAGCGATATTTATATTTGAAGCCATGTTAAGGGGGGGGGACTCCTTTGGGGCCAACTCCGAATCGATCCAAGCGCTGATGTAAACAATCGGACGCTAGCGGAAACACATAATCGATATTTGGGACGGCTTGATAATACGACATCTAACGGCGGTACCCACAAATAAATTTTATTCCCCGTTACCATCAAGTTGGGTTTGTGTATTTGCTACGCGAAGACAGTGTTGCCGGACAGCATCGGTTTTTTTTCGTGTTTTCGCTAGCCTCCGATTGTTTACATCAGCGCTTCGATCGATTCGGAGTTGGCCCCAAAGGAGTCTCACCCCTTTAAAGGTTTTGTAGTTAAAATCGTAAAAAGTGTAGAAATCAATCAATACTGTTAGCTTAATATAAAACATTTAACTGCAATACTGTTAGGTTTTACCAATAATCACTGTACTTCTAGTTAGACAGTAATAGTATTTAATGACTAAATGATATAAGATATAAGATGATAAGTATAACAGGCTCACATAGTTACATGGTTACCGCGAAGCATGCGAACGGAAACGGTGAAGCAAAACGAACGTCGAAAGAAAACAGAGCGCGAAGCCCCCCCTGTCGTCAAAGGCATGTTACTTAAATAATCAACAATCTTCTTCAAATTATTCAATGTGAATTCTCGTTTGTATCAATGAACGATCCAAAGTATACAAAATTGCCAACACAGACCTGTAATTGAAACACTTTTTAAATTATTTATTAAGCACTCTCAAAGGTACTGTAGTTAAAATCGTGAGAAATGTAAAACTCAATCAATATTGTTAACTTGATATAAAAAATTTAATACAATACAAGTAGTGGAAGCTCTTGGAGAGGATTAACTACACAGGGTGAGAGGCATTTAAATAATCCTTCGGCACTTAAGAGTAATCAGAAATCATCGGGTCCTATTTTTCAAGAGGAAACAAAGCTATAGATCTCAAAGGCTGTTACGCGCGCAGTTATTTAATCGAATCCATTTCCATTTCGATTCAGCAATGCAAATGAAGCTGCACACCATGTCGAATTGCCTCTGATCGCTATCGAAGCAATCGATTCGTTAATTTAATTTCATCTTGTCACTGTCTGACAATTGACAAGCTAGCAGTATCAGTTATTTGCCTTTTGTATTTAAAATTTTTCTGATCGATAAAGGACGTACCTTCTTGAAGAATTATGTTCACAAACCTCGTATCAATTGATATTTTCTGATAACGTGTCATTGTTTCAAAAATGAACTCTTAATCGATAAACGATACTAATCCAAAGTCCTAAAAAATTAGTTTCTTGTAAAACTAGAAATAGTCTAAATTTTTTTATTGAGAAATGTAGGGTACAAATTTTTCATTTTTTGTGTAATTATTGTACTTGAAAGTTTCATATCTCTATAGTATAAATATGAACAAAAGTTAAAACAATTATTATTTTATTTTTAATTGAATGGCACTCAAGAGTAAGAAAAAGAGATTTACAACGCTATAAACTATGAACTAAAAAACTCATGTATTGATTGAGTTTAAAGTGATTTAATTTTTGTATTTAAGAAACTAAGTACTAAACGTTTTATATAATAAAATTATTTAGTAAACATTTTATAAATATTTAGTGAATAGTTTATATAATATAATTATTTAGTGTTGTGATTGTACTACATATCAAAACGCTGCAATGTAGAAAACCTAAATAGGATATAAAATGCAAGTAAAATGCATATTTCTAAAAAAATTGAAAATACCTTGATGGATACAAGATTTAAAAATAAATTTTAAATTTCTATTAATTCGAATAACGGTTTATACTTAGCTAATACTAATGTAAATGAAATTTCTGTTGCAGAAGACGAGTTTGCACCAGATCAGTTCCAAACCCGACCGTTCATCATCGTCAAAGTAGGCAACTTAGGTAAATTGAAGTATCTGCAAATTAAACTGCTTATTCGAAAATTATCTTGTAATAAAACACCTCGTACTGGATAAAATTACATTTAATACAAAGCCTAATAGTACTTCTTATAATAATTGTTTTGAAATAGTAATTACTGTAGCTTTCACAAATCTGCAAATATATTAAATATAAACTTCTTGTTTTACACTTGAAATAATTAAAATAATTGTACTTTTCATTGCATGAGAATTTAAATAATTACATACCACTCTTGTATTGATATTTCGTATTGATATACTCTATTAAGTTCACATACAAATCTCTAACAGTTATATTTCATACTGATTATAAAATGGTGTTGTAAATTTGCGAAAGCAACCTCAAATATTTTAAAGATTCTTCTTAAGCAATGTTTCGGCACTTCCAAATATTGCATTTGAAATACTACTCTTAATTACTTCGTTTTGAACAAATATTTTTAATAAATTTTATTTTCACCCGAATGCAACCCAGTGGCAACAAAAGGAGGTTTACTACGTTATAGACTAAACAATTCATAGGTTGATTGAGTTTAAAGTAAGTTAAATTTAAATGAATTTAAATAAATTTCTACCCATATTATTTTCTTAAGAAATATTTTGGAAATATTTTTTCGTTCAATTGCTTTTTGTTCATTGTCGTGAAATTCGGTTTATTGTTGATATTAATATATAGAATGATAACAGTGTTGTCTGCAACAAAAACTTTTCCTAGGTACTATAATTATTTTCATATTCAAACCGACACGACTTCCGGTTTCTTATGCTGCCCCGGATGGACGCAGGCGACTCAATTAAGTTTTGGATGCAACAAACGTGAGTATTGACCAACGAAAAATAATTACGAAAGCTGTGTACACTTTTATAATATTTATTTGAACAAAACTCATTTAAAAAAGTCGAAATATTCTTTCAAAAAATGTAAAAAATTATTGATACAATGCGAATAGTATCACATTGCGTACGAATCACGAGAAATGTACCTCGTTTTACTGTACATTTATTCAGAACGTCGATGAATTGTTAAAATTAAAGTAGTTCACTTTGGTAACGGAATTAATGTATAAAGTGAATACTGCAATACCTTGTAGTTTACATACTGAATGGAATATTACATATTTTAAGTATTAAATATTATAACATCGGAAATTAGCTGAACAGAATTTCATACACAATGTATTAAGAAGTAGTACAATATTCCCAACTTAACAATATCGTAAATATGACCAGAGTCGATTTTACAATTTCTTTATGGTTCGTGTAAAATATTTATTGGCTCTCTATGTTATGTATTACTTAACCGATATCTGAACTTAATTGCCTTTCAGCTACCTGCCCAGCTCCCTGCTTAAACGGAGGAGTATGTACCTCACCTGGCAGGTGCACGTGTCCCAAAGGATTTACTGGCAACCAGTGCCAGACAGGTAATATCATACACGAATGCAAATTGATTCTAAATTATCAGTTCAAATATTAATCGACTATACATATACGTACATACATAGATACACTGCCAGCCAAAAGTTTCGGTACATCTACTGCAATTATGTTCCACATCCAAATACAAACTGTAGTCGTATGTTTTCCGCTACTGCAGTCGTATAAATTTCTTTGTTACAGTCTTATAACGTAACACATCGATTGAGGAGTCTAATATAAGGGGGAAGTATGCCACAACAGTAGCGTTATTAGATAGTAAGGTTTTTATGAAAAATAATGTCCCTTGTACATACGGATATATACAATATATAGGATGGTCCACACAACTTGCACACCTTAAATAACTTCTAAAGTATGCATTGTATGAAAAAATTTGTGTACCAAAGTTACATGGTTTGAAGGGATACATTATGTAGTGCATATCATTTTTTGTAGGTGGAGGCATGTCGGAGATTTGCAGAATAAACTTCGTTATTTTAAATGAAATGATATATTTTTTATGCCAAAATATTGAAGAGTGTTGAATTCTAAGTAAGAAAGTATTGACCTTTATTTGCTCTAAACCTAATAATGAACGAATAATTTCACCTCGTTTCTTAAAAATGTACTGTGCGTATTATAAAGTTAGAGATCGATGTCGATGGATATACGAGATATGTTTTGCAAGTGAAATTATTCGTTAATTATTAGACCTCTTAGACTAGACTCCTCAACTATGCTTCTTCGTCACGTCCATTTCAAAAATATGTCATAACTGAACTACTTGGTCTAAACCAGTGAATTTCGGACATAATATTCTCTGAAGCAGAGTTCGGCAGAATTTTATTCGAATATACACAGTGAAAAGCAGCAGTATCTAAGGGTGTCGTTCTGATCTTTAAACAGTTAATGAGATTAAATACTTGTTCGACAAATGTCGATTCATTCATAAAGAAGTATTATTTTATTATAAAAATTTAAACAAGAAAAAAGGACGAAATACTGTTTTTATCTTTTATTCGTTATTCGAAACTCTTTATCTAGATAATGAGTTTGCCCACCTCTGGTCTGACGGTATTTGTTCTAAATTCAGGTCTGCGAAAAGCCGCACAACTTATGGGATGACTCCCATAGCTTAAATCAAAAAATTATCTTATGTCGTTTTTAAATAAAGAAAAGTATCCGCTTCACTTGCGACACCTCTATGAAAACACTTAAATCCCAGATCAAGACCGTGTACTCGAAGTGAATGATTCAACTGGCAAGCAGTGCTCCCTCTGAAATCGTAAAATATCAGCGATCAATATATACGAGCTAGGAGCACGTCCTACTAGCCGGGATCGTTAGGCGTAATTAAATCGACGCAGCCCGATACGTGGCTCGATAGCATTGCGCGAATACCAAGCCGACTGGGCGTATTGTGGTGTCCAGCGGTGGACTGCTCTCGAAAGATTTACGAGCGTTTTCATTATGCTATGCGGACGTTCTAATTATGAGACCGAAGTGAGCTGCGTCGGGCGTGCCGGTTTCGATTCGACGAAAAAGAGCTTTAAGGGGTCATGCTCAGTCAGGAGGCCGAAAAAAGAGTGTTCTTTGGGAATTTTTTTCTCAAAAACTATAAGACCTTTTTCAAAAAATGCGTTTGCGTTTCAAAGATTGCAGTTTCTAGATTATAAGGTAGTTTGTTTATTTAAAAGTATTTATTAGTAAATAAATGGTCAGTGATCTTCCGGATGTCTCTTGACAAAAAGTGGTCTGCCGTGATCACTGTAACTTCGTAACGGTTCATCTGAAATTAAAAATTCAGTAAGAGTTATGTAATGGAAGAAGAAAAAGTGCTATTTTCATCTAAAAAATCACTCGTTTTTGGTCAATTAAAAAAAAAGTATGGAACGAACAAAAGAATCCTTCGTTCAACGACAAGGTTTTCTCATTTAAAGTAAGATGCAAAAGGCTTCATGTAAATCGACACAGTAGTTTTCGAGAAATATTGATCACCGATTTGAAAACCGTAGTTTCGAGAAAAACGCGTTTAAAGTTTCAAGTCAAGCTTACACTTATATAAAATGTTTATATTTTAACGCCTGTAACCCTGTCATTTTTAATTGGACTACCTTGAAACTTGCCCAGAATATACTCGAGATGTCGTACTTCAAGAAAATGTAGAAAGTGAAAAATCGATTTTTTGAAAATTTCTGACTGAGCATGACCCCTTAATGCAGGAAGTTTTGACACTCTTCAGGGATCTAACTTTCTGTGTTGCGGTGGGACGGTATATATAATGTTCTTTAACTAATAACATTATCTAGTAGAATTCGTGATTACGTAACTATACTGGTCAAAATAATTAGTAGATCGTATATTGCAATCGGCCTGTGTTCGTCAATAGGACGTACAATCTCTGAAAAGTCGAAACAAGTAGACTATTATATCCGGACCCTAGTCAAAGTGTATTAAAACCACATTTCTTTAAAAAATGACACTTTACATGTTTCCCATATCAATTTTTTAATTAATTTCCAGTGATAAAAATTATTTCGTTTTAAGTCGTTTAGTTTTTAATATAATGGTGCAAATGTGATATTACGTCTAAATCTTGCTTCGAGTCAAACAGTGTACAGTTCACCGCATAGAGGATTAATTGCAATGTTCAACATTTCTACATATCGAGACTTGTCTTGAGATCATTCAGTAGTTCAAACGTAGTGATTGTTTCTCGTTGAATTCTTACCAAACGGTTCGAAAGTTACATACAAGGTTTTAGCACTTTTGATTTGCTCTCCTCTAAAGTTCGAAAAGTGTGACTTAATACACTCTGGCTCAGGTGTCCAGATATACATATTGCAGTTGCTCTGTGTTCGTCAATACGATGTACAATCTCAAAAAAAGTTTTTTGTAAATATATAAGTAGGTCTTAGTAGTGTCTTATAGCATTTGTTTTGTTTCATTCGTTTGGTAGGTGCTCCAGAACCACCCACATTAGCGATCCTCCAATTCTATTGGGCAGTGTACATATAATACGTTTTTGAAATCTGAAACAGTATAGATTCACCATACGGATGAAACGATGAGAAATATTAGACCACTTTTTGTTTTTAACAGCTTACTTCATTTTTATTGAGCGTTACACCTTCCATGTTTTTATTCATAATTTTTTACTTTTTCTCTTGGTTTCTTTCTATCTTCCCGGCACTTCTGTAATTTTACTATTATTATGTTTAAAGAATAACGATAAGTCCAAAGTAAAAACTGGGATTGGAAATATCTATTAATCTTTTTAATTAAGTACCTCGAAAATGAATGAAGTTAGCACATTAACATATTCAATATAAGAATACCTTGGATCTTCGGGAGCAACGATATAGCCTAAATGAAAATTCTATCACATTATTGATCTTAACACCGCATATAAACAAACTGTTTCATCGCTTTAGAACATTTATATTTATATTTATAATATTTATTCACTTTGGAATATTCACTTTAGAATACTGTTTAATGCTTTGTAGTATTTAGTTTAAAGGTTAAAAATTGATCGATATAAATAGCAGATAAAACTGACAAACATACAACGTATCTGCAAAATTTTCAAGTTTGTTTAATAACAAAACATATAAGTAAAACATTTTCCTAAGCGCCAGTACGAGATTATACATACACCTTTATACACAGCATTTTAAAAATTTATTTACAAAGGATTATATTTCTTCTTGCAGTTGAAACGGAGTATTGTATGTACATATGTATATCTACAATGAAACTCCATCAAACTGTACAAAAGTACAATATTTCCGTCCTACATTATAATGCATTAAGATAAAAAGATTATTAGAATATATTACAACTGAAAGTTCTCCTGATTAAGAATACGAAAATTATTTAAACAGTCCATGAAACTGTTTTTCTCAATACTTTCTGCATTCCCGATCGACTTCTTTTATTAAACGAAGAAACGAGTTACTTTAAACGGCATCGGTGATCTCAGCCCCCCCCCTAAGAAACTGTTTTTCTCAATACTTTCTGCATTCCCGATCGACTTCTTTTATTAAAGGAAGAAACGAGTTACTTTAAACGGCATCGGTGATCTCAGCCCCCCCCCTCCTCCTCGCGCCATACTTCTCCCCGATAAAACACCAACTCAATAACTAATTTAAATTTCCATAATTTATTCATTGAAATCCTTGAGCTTACTTCGAGAAATTCGCCGGATCAACGGAAACGCAAGCTGTCCTAGAGTTTGCGCAATACTCCCCGGAAACCGAAGGATTTCACGATGGATCAGCCGCAGCTGCGACATTTCTGCAATTAATTTTCAACGAATTAACATAACTTGTCCCGCCAACGTTTCAGATATCGACGAGTGCGTGACGGAGAAGCCCTGCGATCAACTATGCAGAAACCTACTTGGGACCTACGAGTGTCACTGCAGGTCCGGTTTTCAGCTACAGAAAGACGGTCAATCCTGTCGAAAAAACGGTGAGTAAAAATTGAAACGTTTTAGTACAATAAAGTAAATGACTCTGTTCTCGAAATCGTGTAGAGGACGATGACTAATGATACCAACGAATACGTACAATATCGGCTCGTTTGAACACATTTCGCGTCGGTCACGTAAAAATACTTAGATCACGTAAAAGATTAGTTTTGTTTTCAGTCTTCGTGATTTAGGCGTATGAAGTTGTCACTTGTGAATGGACTAAAAGATAACAAAATTCAACATCGATACTTTAATAGTGAAATTTCTTCGCCGTATACATTCGAGTTTCGTACATGCTAATGGACATGCAAGAATGCATATACTCGCTTGCTAGTGTTTTTTATTAGATTTTATTACATATAGTTATAATATTTTTACGAACATCTCGGCCTTAACCCTTAAATGTATGATTTTCTCAAACATAATAAAACATTTGAAATTGCTGATTTATGTGCCATAAAATTGTAGAAAGATTATGAAAAGTATCCATTTCATTCTTTTGCATTGTTTTATTTGAAAAAAGTGTTTGTTCTCAAATGGCTGTAATACATGTAGAACATACATAAACAAATCGCAAAACTAAATTGTCGTGAAAATTTCTGAAACACTTATTATTTTTGTTTAGACATAGTGTAACTCTATACTTTTTGTATTTTGCATGTGTAAAGCCATTATATATGTGGGTAATTTACATATTTCTGAATCTTCGATTCCAGGCTAATGTCCAGTGTGGTCGTGCTTCTTTTGGTGTGAGAATCTATTTGTAGATAGACGCCAACGTTTAAAATATTTTTGCATACAGCCAATAATGTACCAGTAATTGAGGTGGTCACGTTAGGTGAATTACCTTGTATATTCATTCAAGTAGCCAAGCAGTAAGTGTTTATGTGTTTACTATTCTACATTAAGAAATATAGGTAATTTTCCAATTGGCAACACTATGCATTTAAGGGTTAAATTCAATAGCAACATATCAATATTAAATACAATTGCTCATTATAACAACTATCCTGTAAGTGTGAAACGTTTATATAATGAACTATCCGCAGTGCTTGTAACAGCCGCGTTTTACTTGATTTCATTTAAAGTTGACACATTAGAGATGTATAATTGACTCGTAGTACTCTGCAGAGCTGGAAACATGGCATACAGAAATACTGTGAAAGGAATGTTGGTCCAATTGTTTATACTCAAGAATTGAGTATTTTTTATATATAACAATTTCTCTAAAGAGTAATTTTAAATGGTATGTTACGTATGAAGAATTTACTCGCATACCTCTCGCTCTAATAGTCTGAGCTCCCAACCGGCAAAGGAAAACGCCCTTACGTTTTCGTTATCTCTCAACTAAGCGAGGGAGTTAAACCCGTTCCCACGGCGTGGTAACCAAAAAACTAGAAAGCATGACGCAACCTCAACCGTCAAAGATTTCCGTATATGGAAATTTTATAGCATCCCCACCAATTTCTAGGCTTATATAAACCCGTTGATTTCAACCCTCGGGGGATTAAAATTGTACCATCGCCTTTAGAGTAACGTCGCGTCACGTTCTTGTGAATTGGTCATTACGTCAGTGAGATCGGGCTAAAGTTCCCTTTCGAATCCAGTTAACCTTGTAGTAAACCGCGATCACTTTATTTGTATTTCAGCTAGAATTAGTACTTGGCATTATTCCGTAAAATCTACTCGCAACCCCCGCATCGCCAGTACGTTAACACCGAGCACATATTTATTTCGGTAACTGTTATTATTTTCTTATTACTTACTACTACGCGACAATACTGCACAACACATTTGTAACTAAAGACTGATCAGTTAATATACGGTTATTTTATGAATCTGTGTAGTTCATTTTGAACGCATAACACGATTCAGAAATCCGTAGTATTATCGATATATTAGTTTCCTCTAGTTTAGATTTAGATATATTTTTTCCATACTAATATAACTTTACCGCTCGAGTTGTATTAATTATAAACTCAAATGTTATGTAAACTCGTATGTTATAGTCCTGAAAATATAAAATGTTTCATTAACATGTTCAGAAACACGCTACTCTTTACGTTTACCGCGCGCGCAGTTACTTCTATTTCAAAACTTCGCATACGATGTGCCACGTCTTCCCGACGTTCAGCGATCTTAAATTTTGCACAAATTATTTTTTCGTGAAATGGAACAAATTTAGGGGGCAGCGTGAAAAAAAGTTATGGTCGAAAAATAAGATCCACCATATTGCACACATTAGTACGTATTGTTAATGCTCGGACCTCTTCCCCTCACGCCGTTCTTTTACTAGGCTCGGCGAGAATCGAATTCTCGCCACGTGCCGTAGGTATTCCATCGTTCCCCGGATGATCCCCTTGATCGGCAGAATTGTAATGGAAAACATATGGCAACAGCGTAACAAAACTCTCGATACGATCCGGCACTATTCCTTTCGTGTTGCGAGGTTACATTTACCGACTTGCTGACATATGGCATAAGCGCCCCTAGCGGAGAATCCTTGAATTATACCACTGCATATTCCTGAGTCTAGACCCGTCGAATCGTAAATACCAACATGTGCCTTCCTGAAGTGATAAAATGACAAAAATCGCATTTCTACGTTAGTGTAATAGCGGTGTGCAGGGTGGTCTGGCCTGCTTTTGACGAGAAAACAAGTAAATCGTGTGATATTTGACATAATATAACTTGAGCAGCCATCTTGTATGTTTACAGCGGTATCTGTCTCAATCGCACACTCTCTGAAATTCCAATTCTTTCAACGAATGGTGTTTATTGATGTTTATATGGACCAGACCATCCTGTAGTGAAGTCTACCCGTGAGTTCTATACCCGCGAAAACTTTATTTGTGCAATTATCGAGGCGTATTTTGCTATTTACGAAATCGATTGTCTCACTCGTAGATCGCGTATACATACATGGTTCCCGTTACTTGTGTGAGTGCTGGACACAGCTTACGGCCCACGGAGTCTCCCCCTTTAAGCATAAGGTTTATAAATGGTAGATGCGATGCAAAATGTGTTAAGTTTTAAATGCTACTCGACGTATACATACATGGTTCCCGTTACTTGTGTGAGCGCTGGACTCAGCTTACGACCCACGGAGTCTCCCCCCTTAAGCATAAGGTTTATAAATGGTAGATGCGATGCAAAATGTGTTAAGTTTTAAATGCTACTCGCGTAAACCCATACATTGCAATGCCAACGAACAGCTTTTTGAATGGCTACCAGTTTTCGAGGTCGTGGTCGCGATCTTTCTTCTCAACTTTCAGAGACTTGGTACGCCCACAGTATTTTCGCGGGACAAGCAAACAATGTTTTTCTGTGATTGTTGCCGCTGTTCTTGAGCTCCTACGCGATTTACGTAGGATTCGTTGGTATAGTTGAGAGAAGTTGATTGAAGGATTTTAGGATGTATACCTAATGGCGGACATTCGATCCAATTTTCTGTAACGTTTCTATGAGTTAAATTGTTCTAATCACATTATTATTCAAACAATTAAACACGTGTTAAATTTTTTAACGATTCGAGAATTTTAAATATAGTAAACGCTAGAAGTCATATATTTGTATTTTATGCTACTCATCAGTTGTCTGCATTATATTTGTCGCTAGTGTGATATTCTTGAGGTTAAAATGTAAATTTTATTTTCACTTTTTCGACTCTTTGTACAGAATCCTCTTTTCTTTTATACCGCAACAATTGGGTACAAAATTAAGTCAAAGCGAAATATATGAACAACTTAACATGCTATCGACTAAAAAAAAATATTTCGTTGTTACATAAAATCTTTATGTCTTTACAACCATTATCAATTTAATGTAAATTTTAAGTATGACTAATTGGATGGTTTGCTTTGTTCATGAACAAATGTTCGTTTGCTTCCACGATTACGTGTGTATTTTTCTCAGATACCGATGACATCGCGTTCGAGGCCCGGGACCTGGAGGATGATTTCCATGAAGTGACGACAACAAAGCGTCCGTCAGTTTCCTCGCACGGTTCGTAGATAGAATTTGGTCTGTCTTCGGTTTGTTTCACGTATTTCGTAAATGCGAAGGCATCGCAAGAAACACACCGTGCTCCGTTCTCACACGGCGATATCAAACAGTTCCCCCTTTACAGATACGGAGAACGAGGTGGCTGACAATGACCTCGATCAGGACTACGAGATTATACTGAAAAGGCTCACCAAGCTTGAAAAGGTACGCCGGACAAAGGCTCTCTGTACATGTTATTTGACTTGTAAAGAAGAGATACGTACGTATACTTTGAGCGCCGCTAGAAACACGAATAATGGGGTATTTGAAAATTATTTCTTTCCTTTCTGTTATTTTAAATCGTAAGTTCGTTGTATCGTATTGATTTAGTTTCCATTGAATAAGGTAAATAATACACTGAAAGTTATTAATACTGTAAAAATTTTAGTATTTTTACATATTAAGTAATAAGTAAACACCTGTTCATAAGTATGATAACACCTGGCGTGGATACAAAAAGAAATGTGATGTTTTGTAAAAATTATATATTTTGGGCCACATTTATTATTTTGTATTAGCATATGGGTTGACCCATCGAACTCCAAGATCCCGTAAAAATTATTTACTTGCTAATTATTAATGTGTTAATATTTATGAACTGGAGTATATATGTGCAGTAAAATTTATTAAAATCTCAAAATCTAAATGTGTAATATTTGATATTTTAGAATTGAATTCCTAGATTCCTATAATAGTTTATGTATCTCGAAGGAACAGCATACCCAGATAGTACACAGCCGACTTAAAGACAGCTTAATGACGTCTGTTCCAGATGTTCCAGACGTCTTGAATAGCTTGTGAAAAGTATTATCGAATCTAAATCAGGTTAAATACAGCTCTTTAAAACACGCTATTCGGGCATATTTAATATGGTTATCGATACTGATTAATTACAATATAAATTTATCCAAGTAAAGGGTTATCAAAGTAAAATCGAACTTAATAAAAATTCACTTCTATTCACTGTATATATGTATTTAAAATTTGATTACAGTTGATTTTACTTTTAATATTATTACATACCATACATGGTAAAATATATCATTCACCGTGTATTTACAAATATTGCAGAGATATATTTATACAATACTTATATTATATTACTTATTTGTTATACAGGCACATTTTAATACATATATATATATATATATACGTGTGTGTGTGTACAGTATGGAGCACTAACTATTACCACCTCAGATATTTTCGAAACTAAAAGGTTCACAGAAATGTTTGTGTAACTAAAATTGCACAGTACGAAGAGAGCCATCAAATGGCACAAATAGTTTTTTTACAGGCGGAGGTAGTTTGAATATTTCAAGGTCACCTCCATTTTTTTAAATGGATCGGTATGTTTTTGTTTTTGTAGAATCATAGGGGAGCTTAAAAAGAGTTGACCGACCTATTACATAAGATCATAGTAGGTGTTCAATGCAACACTGGATTCTTTTTATGACTGGTTGACGTGCAAGTCTTATAACGTCAACACTTATTGATGCACAGGCTGCAATAATTCGCTGTTGCATGTCTTGAAGTGTAGGTGGTAACTCTTTGCACACTTTATATTTCGATGTTCTCCATAGAAAGAAATCTAGGTGTCACGCCAGATGAATGAGCTGGCCACGATATTGGACCGCCGCGCCGCGTCCAATCCAACGATTTTGAAATTTTTCATCGAGTTCCCTTCGCGAAATCAATGAATAATGTGCTGGGCATCCATCTTGTTGATACCACATGGTGTGTCGTGTATGTTACAAATATTATATTAAACTTGACTGCGATCGCTTTCGAGGTTCTGTGGTAAGTGCTGTGTCTCTTGACACAGTCCTCTTGTCAGAGAGTCCATCGACTCTCCCCACTCTGTGGCCAGATGCTTTATTTAAAGTTTTTTATCACACGTGTCTCCGTGACGGCCGGCAACCGAGTGTCGGGCCCTTCGCCGTCACGCAGCACCCTCCGGGTTGTAGGTTCCTTCAAGGATTGGTACACCGAGGAGCAAACTCGGCTTCCACTAGGGGAAAAAGTAACGTAACGACAGGGCCTCCTACCATTTGGTATTTAGAATTACTGAAATGTATGCCAAATTAACATTCGAGTTAAGATTTATTTCACTACATGGAATAAATTTTCCAAGTGGTAGAAGACTTTTCTTCCAACGCCGCTTTTTCCCACAGTGGAAGCCGGGTTTGCTCATGGGTGTACACCGACGAGCAAACTCGGCTTCCGCTAGGGGAAAAAGTGAAGTTGGCGAAGGGCCTACTACCATTTAGTTTTGGGAGTTGCTGAAATTTATACTAAATTAACATTCGGTTTAACATTTATTTCAGTACTTGAAATAAATTTTCCAGGTGGTAGAAGACTTTTCTTCGACGCCGTTTTTTCCCACAGTGGAAGCCGAGTTTGGTCGTCAGTGTACACGCAGGCGATACCTCCTCACAGCCGTAGGAGAATCCCCCAGCAACAGCGGCATTAAAAAGAGAGGGAAGCATTTCCAATTATTGTTTTCCCTCTTTAGTGCCGACTTCATCCCTACCATAAGACCGCGCAGTCTATTATACACACATCTCTATGATCTACACCGGTGATGGGCAAAACAGCGCCCGCCAAACTCACTGGCGGACAACGCCAGTGCGTGTATCTATCACTCACTTCATACCACGGTCGTATACACAGGTCCGAAAGTCCCGTTGTGGGGGTGATCCCTTAAGGAAGACCGAAAGTTTCATGAATCTTCCGCTAGCCACACAGCGCTGCAATCGTTGTGTACGTACGCTCGCAAGCAAACTCGGCTTCCGCTGGGGGAAAAAGTGGCGTAAGAAAACGGTAGTATCACTTGGCAAAATTTATTTCAAGTACTGAAATATATGTTAAACGGAATGTTAATTTGGCATAAATTTCAGTAATCCCCGATACCAAGTGGTAAAAAACCCTTCCCGTAGTCCTAGGTCCATGACTGGATCGAAAGACTGTAGTGCCCTCGCTTCGTGGCAAAGTTCGAAAGTACACTTTGTTTCTTTAAGGGATCACTCCCACCACGGAAGTTTCCGGACCTGTATATACGACCGTGCTTCATACACAAATATATCGTGACGTTTCTTGCCTCGTAACCCCTCCACAGAAGCCCGCGCTGCCCGCCACTTGCCCGTACAGGTAACGTGCCCGAGTGGGCGCGGTTGCCCATCACTAGTCTACACTGACGTCTTAAAGGCGCTTTTAGACGTCGTAAAGACGTATTTATTACTAATCAGGACATTCAGTTGTCCAGACCTAAAATAGCTGTAAAATGGATGTCTTCAAGACGTCATATGCTATCTGGGTATGCAATAACTGTTTTATAATTACTATGCAAAGCATTATTATTTTTACAGTTTAATTGGTCAAGTATCGATAAAATGTTTATTTTCCCTTTTTAGCTATTTGCAAAGGGAAAAAAAAGAGACACCGAGACCACCGAAATGAGTGTTAAAGTTGCGTCTGTCATGGATAACATTAATGAAATGAAAAGGACTGTAGAAAATGTAGTAAGTACCCAATATATTAAATGTATACAAAAGTAATGACCACTTTTCGATCGAAAATATCTATTGATATCGTTTTATTGCTATAGCGTCTGTTACTTGAAACATCCTGATAGCCAGTTGTGTACAAAACCATAGCCATCTATTTCCGCATTTGTCTTGGTTTTTGTAGGCAACGCTAGCTAGCAAAATGGTAAAGCAAATTAGTAGAAAGTCTTGCAACATGATTTATGTGAAATTGAGGGCAAAACCGGTACAAGGGTTGCGCAGTTTCAGCCATTTAAATTTTATATGGACGTGCATATATTCGGGAACTCAAGCAACTATAGGCGGCAGCACGATCCCACTGTCATGGCGGCTGTTGAAAGTATAAACATTTGTTATACAGACTCCTCTCGTTTATCGTCCTGAACTCGGATCCGTGCCGGGACAATAATCATATGGGGAAAAATGCTTCAGACCCTCATAAATTCGTTGTTTGCCCGAAGCCCGTGCCTCGGCAACAAAAGCAAAGGGGCAACAGAGTATGAGCTTGACAGGATCCGCGCCTCCCTCCCCCCTACGTTGTGGGGATAACGCTTGGACAATAATCGTGTAGACTGTAGAACAAACCAGACGATAATCGAGAGGAGTCTGCACTATAAGAAAATAAATATAATTGTATATTTTATAGTGCAATTAAGAATGAAATTAAGTATTCGTGACATAATTGATTATTATTGATTTTTTTACGGGAATAAATAATTTTTACGATACTTTTATTATTAATATAATTAATTTTCTACTAAATTTCAATTTCATTTACAATTTTTCAATTTATACAATTCTTATGAAACAAACTTATATTGTATACATTATTAGTGAATAGTTTGAAATCTTTAAATATTACAAGAAATACAAAAATTAAGAAAAAAATGTAATTACATGTTCATCTATAATTTCAAATCAATAAGAATATTAGATTTCACACTTATGACTAGACTGCGGATGTTTATACATTCATAGCACTTCTTAACTGGGAAAATATAATAAAATAAAGGTATCAATAAAGTTTAATAGTACAGCCAAATTAATTGTAAAGCTAATAGTACAGAATCCAAAGTCCACTTGGTTTTAATTTTTAAGTATTAGTATGTGAAGTTGTGAATTTGGATAAATTGCCGCAGTCTACCTATAACTACAGGTATTCTGCTTCTTCCTTCTTTCCTCTGATTATTCCTCTGAAAATCTCACGGTATTTCGGTTGAATCGTGTGGGAGTGCATGGAACACGTATTCACGGTTGTCGTCAATGAAACAAAATTCACATAATACAATTCATTAGTATAAAACAATTATACAAGTTAATATGAAAAATATTCACAATTTTATAAAAACATAAAAAGTAATTGATTCATACCTTGAAATTATACAAGTGTTCAAATATTACATACATATACATACATATACATATAGTATATATACCATACAGTTATATACATATGACGAATGATGTACTGTATATACATATACAAGGGTATTAAAAAAACCATTCAATATTTATATGATACATAGGACACACTGTACTGAGTAAAAAGACCTTAGTAAACACAGGTCGAAGGGTCAACCGTTTTGGAGATATAAATATTTTTGTTCAAAATAATCCCTTACCACAACAACTGGTTACACTGGGCACACTTTTACTCGATGGAAACAAGATTGCGCCATGCGCTTGCGTGATCACAACTAGGGATGAATCGATACAAGTACATAAGAGTACATTACTCGATACTTTTGTTTTTCGATACCGAGTACTTTTGATATCGATGCGTACGGTTGCGATACCAAGTAGGTATCGAAAAAAAGTACTCGTATCGAATGGAGCGAGTATCGACCCATCAACATTTGATATTGTAATTACTTTCAACGCAAAAGAATGTTGTTTATATTAATAATTAAGCAGTGTGTATTTGAATATTTTCAATATTATAATAATATAGGTATATATGGTTAGGTGTAAAAATTTAAATAAATATTTAAAGTACAGTATTGTATTTTATTTTCTCTTAAGCTATAAACAACTTTTGCGTTGGGTATCAAGGTTAGGAAAATATAATTCGATACTTTTGTTTCGATACCGAGTAAGTATCGATACCTTCATGCAATACTAGCAATGAGTAAAAGTACCAATGTCTTGGCGGTATCGATTCAACCCTAATCACAACCAATCACCAGTGTGGCTCAACGTACCGCGTAAGTGTGTTCTCCGCTCCCCGGAATTGTTTCACCCAGCTTACTTACGCTTTGTCCCTTTATTCCTATTTCTTATGTCCATGATCATGATCTACCCCAGTGATGGCCAACCTTCTACATGCACCAATTTTTTCACATGCGAGTTCAGATGCGCCATACCACTCAAGCACCTTTTCTACCTTCTTACGTTCATGGTTGGGGTTGGAAAATAGGGATAGGGGTAGGATCTACTTCGCTTAAGGGAGGAAGTTTTATGATGAAATGCGCCATACGTTGACCACCCCTGATCTACCCCAATGTGTCACAAATAAACTGCAAGAATTGCTGCCAACTTGCGCGAAAGTTGTTTATAAGCAAATCTTGCGTCAAACTTGTAGCCACAACCTTATGACAAGCATTGGACAAAATTTGGCTTTGCAGGTTTGGCGGACTGGACAATTTTCCTTACCTTCCATTATTTTGGTAATAATTGAATTTTCTGTCGCCAAAAACGGCAATAAAACGATAATACTATTTTAAATACGACGGTCACTACTTTCGTTTACATCGAGTGTTTCGTTGGTGATATTTGCCTAAATAATGCTATATTGTTGATTTAAAAGTATATATAATTGTTACCAGAAATTAATGCAACAAGAAATATACGAGATGAGGAATAAATTACGGGAATATGAATTGGAAACCAGAAAGATGCAACACTTGACAAACAGAGTGATAGAATTGGAAAATCGTTTGAGACTACGTTGCAGAACTGCGATGCCAATAAACAGTGGCACGTTACATTTTTAACATCGTTGTAAGAAATATGAATATCAAAAATATTGTGCATTGCCCATAGATGTAATATTTATATAAGAAAATTTCTATGTTAACACTGTCACTGCCATTTATGTAGCTTTTGTAATGTGTTGAATCTATCATACAAGTGTAACTCAAATAATCTTTGTGATTATTTGTACCCAGTTTATAATAAAACAACAAAAGAATATGTATTATTCCTGTTCATATATATTTGTCCAGCAAAATAAAGAGTTTCATTTGTTTTTAAGTAATACTAATCACATTGTTCTTTGTTGGTAAGTGTAAAAATGAAGATAAAGAATTTTATTGTAACAGAATTTGTTTGCACTTTATTACATACATGGTCAAAAGAGAAGGCATCAAATAGTGCTATCAGTGTCATATAAAAATTATTTTTGCTTAGCTGCTTTCTTTTGTCTCCTAGTTAACCTTTTGTTTGATTTTGTAGTTGCTTTCTGTGATTTTGCTCTACCCTTCTTTTGTTTGGCAATCTTTCTGCTGTTCATCCATACTGGATAATTTCCATATTGATCAAGCATTGTTTTCTTGTCATAGATCCTACCACCATCTACATCCATGTTTGTGTTATTTGTCTTTGCAGTTTCTTTTAGTGCTTTTGCATCCACAACTATAAAAAAATTGAAACAGGTTAGTTAAAAGTATAAAACATAACAATAATACATTGTAAAAAAATTCGCCTCACCAGTGACAATTTCTGATATGTCCTTCATTTCATTATCGTGTGATCCATTCTCTGTGAGACCTAATGTTTTCTTTAACCTTACTAATTCTTTTTCTCCATAACGTTCCCTTTTAACTGCTCTGCACTTCCTCCTCCATTTGCTGCGCAGTGATTTTGCCATTTTACTGTTTTGTATCTAAAAACAACGCAAATATAAAGTAACAACTATATTTACTACAAGTGACATAAACCTTTTTTCGTAATAAAAAAATAATTTTGTACTATTAACCGGAAAATTAAGACTAGTATTGGAAATTGAATTGTCATACACTTGATGAATTATATAGTGAAAAAATATTTGAAGTAATTTAATATATTTTAATGTGGACCATAACTTTAAACGATTATGAACTTTAAGAATCAGAAATTGTAAATTCATTAACAGACTTAAACAGAAACAAATTATTACCTTAACTTATACTTATTTAAGTACTTTATTCTCTTCAGAAATTCTTTAAAATACTGTATTAATTAAACAAAAATATGAAAGATCACGTGTTGTGTAAACGTTACTGACAATATGAAACCTAACCTTACACTTGTTTGTATCGTCGACTTCCGTTTAACCTGATTGGTGGTGCTATCTAGACTAGAACTACGATAATCAATATTTCTTCATTACACTTGCATCTAGTCGGTATTAAAGAGTAATAACAAAAAATATTATGTACAGTCACATACGAGATATATTAACACAGACGAGATATAAGAATAGACCTAACATGCAATGTAATTTTCTATCCCATGCTTCGAGGGTGTCAGAAGCCCCCTTACCATTTCAGTGTCAATACCCAACGTTACCGATTCAGTGTGAAAATATATTACCACGCTCTTGTGGTCAGAAGTATTATGTGTGATAAATATGTGTCAGTGACTTCAGCGCGGTAAGGTAGCAGAGCTAGAGAGCTTAGTACAATGATGGGCAACCGAGCCCGCTCGGGCATGTTGCCCGCACGGACAAGTGGCGGGCAGCCGCGGGTTCTTGTGAAGGGGACGCGAGACAGGAAACATAACGACATATTTGCGTATTGGTATTCCTTGACCCTTCTCCACATTTTAATCTAAACTAACGTATCACTACCGACGAGGTATAGGATAGACCTATCATCTTATGGGACTTTGTGTCTCATGTTCTAAACTACCGATAGTGTAAAAAGTCAGGGATTTTCTGCTGTCCTCTACGTTATAAAAACGGTGAATTTGTGAACTACGTTAAATCCATTCGAGCGCAACTAGTTTAACTTCTACAGTGTTGTCGAGTCTAAAGTACAATATTGTCAGATTATGAGTGTTCGGTACATCGGAAAATCATCGAAGGGCCCATGGTTGTGAACGGATTCCCTTCCGTCCGTTCACTGTAAAGTAGACGTATTAGAAAGGAGTCTTGGGTTTCAGTCCCGACGGACCTATTGGTTTTTTTTTCGCGTACAAAAAAGTTATTCCGCTTAATATTGTTTTTATGAATATGTATATATATTATTATGTACATTTGAGTAAATTATTTTATTGTTCCACTGTTATTACAACAGTTTAACAGTGACAACGAACGCATGTATATTTTCAAATATCGGACTGACAGTATATTTTTATTCTATATTATTACACATAAGTGAGTAATACGTATCAAAAACGTAATCGAAACACAGATTTTTATTACACCACAAACATCGCATAAAAGATATTTCGTTATATTGACATTTGTAATAATTATGGATGTTGCGGGGAAATCTATTGACATTATGGAACATGTAACGAAATATCACTGTAACACTTAAAAAAGTTTTAAAGTTCCATTTATATCATTGTCCTGTGAAAATGTTCATACTTCCAGCAGCATTCATATTCCAATCAAAGAATTTACAGAATAAGGAAAAGGAATCTAAAATAATTTTGAGTAGTTCCATACATCTTTATCTTGAATAATGTTCTAAAACGTTCAAAGTACTAGAAATTTTTACACTTTGAATCTCATATCGATTTCTAAAATAATCCTAGTTCGATGTAATATAGAACGTGGTTTTATGAGATAGATTCGAAGTTCGCAGCCATTAGCTCGATATTGTCTTCAGTTTACAGTACTTTACCGATGACAATACCGATTGCCCAGGCCTCACCACGAGGAGGTTGCTGCGAGTGGAGGCCCAAGGCAGGTAGATGGAATCACAAGTTCCGCATCTACCGACCTTTCACAATAAACCTTATAAATAATTTAAATCTTAACTATGTAATACTATCGGTACTAAAATCCCTCGGCGGATAACTTCTTTCTTGAGCCTAAACCTATAAAAAACTAAGGTACCTCGTCGATTGTCTTCGTCCTTCAGCTTAGAACTAATATTATCTTAATATTCTAATTAATACGAATTAATG